ACACACACACACACAGACACTCACTATAACATACACACACACACACTCACACTCAGACACTCACTATAACACACACAGACACTCACTATAACATACACACACACACTCACACTCAGACACTCACTATAACACACACAGACACTCACTATAACACACTCACAGGTGCTGCTCTGCAGTTTGAAGCGTGTGGTCATGTGCGCTGTTGTTTCAGGAGGCGATCATGGACAGCACGGAGATCGACGTGTCTCCCAGAAGCCTCCACAGCGAGCTGATGTGTCCCATCTGTCTGGACATGCTGAAGAACACCATGACCACCAAAGAGTGTCTGCATCGCTTCTGCTCCGAGTGCATCGTCACCGCGCTGCGCTCCGGGTGAGGCCTCTTGACAGCGATAGAAGGGTGGGCTGGCACATATCCCGGGGGGGTATTGCTACAATAACTATATTAACTATATGTACACTAAAAAAATGGGCAGCCTAGAATATCATGCACTTTCACAACAAAATAACCTTTTTTTTCTTTATTGAATAGTTTCATTGTTTCTACACTGGTGATTATTTTAAACTAAAAATGCACGTCAGCCTAAATGACAGCCCTACTCTAAGCCGCTTCGGATAAAAGCATCTGCTAAATGACTAAATGTAACTTTTTGTATTCATACCAAACAAGGCCATAATCATGTCTAGTGGTCGACCGATATATTGCCAAATTAATTCAAACTATGCTGCGCTTTATGCATTTGCCCACTGCCATATTCATGCCATTTTTCACTGTGTGCTGTGTGTAAAATGAGTGTTACCTTGGCTTTATTTGAAAAAATATGATTCCCAATGCACACAAACTTCCCAGAATACTGAGTGCCCTGTTGTTACAGTTTACTTCCTTTTTAGTTATATTTTTATTAAATATTTATTTATTTGTGAAAAATATTTTGTCATCTAAAGTATAAGTATGTTTATTTAACACATTTATTTTTTAATCCATTTTCAAATTATTTTTAAATTTCTTAAATATTAATTAAAATAAAATTATATCGGCCACCCTGCTTTCCAAGATATCGGCATCGGCTGTCAAAAAACCCATATCGGTCGACCACTAGTCATGTCTTTACAGACAATTGGTCTGGTCTTTAACATAGTTTTGTTAAAGACCAGACCACTATGGTAATGGTAAAGGAACTAAATAAATAAAGGATTTAAATGGATTTAGTGGAATAAATTCAAAGGACAAAAGAACAGTAAAAGAACAAGAATAAGTTTTTTTTAAAGTAATCAATCTGAACCGCAAATAATATATATATATATTTTTTTTTAAAATATGCACCCATTCAATTTTAATATGTTGAAAATGCAAAAGAGAAAAATGCTATTGTCGTCACAGTAATTATGAATTACACGAATCATGTAAATGACAGCCCTACTTTCAATTCAAAACAATGGAATTTCACAAAAAAAAAGTCAAATAATTTGCATCGCTGGATATTACAGTCAAGCCGACTGTTGCTACGAACGCAACATTCATCGCACAAGCTCTTATCTTCAATGTTGTTTACTTTCAGTTTTCATTCTTAGTTCAGCATTAACAGCAAGCCAAAAGGGGTCAGCTTTCAGCCGAGCTGTACAGCCTACATGCATTTAAACGCTTATCTTGCCCCATCCATGCAGTGAATGCACGTTACTGAATGAGCGGGTTTTTATAGAACATTAATTCAGCTGCTCAAGTAATTTCAGTGGTTGGCTATGATACATATTCATGTATTAAACTCCTCGTAACTCGCGCAAATATTTCTGCCCCTTTTCGCTCGTTGTTAGCCTTTGCTTTACTGCAACAGACTGAAGCTCCGCGTGAATTCAGCTAATAAAAGAAAAATGCTGCAATTTTCTGGTGTTAGGTATATATTAAACTTCTCAAAATACAGTCCGCTTCAGATTGGTTTTAATCACTGCACAAAAATAAATAAATAAAATAAAATAAAAAATGAGCACAATCGTGATCTAATTCTGATTGGGTGTGCTCAGCCCATGCCTGGAGCCGGCGCCACTTCAGACCCAGTGTTTCAGACCTCTCTTGCTCAGCGCTGCCCTGCTCTTCTCTCGCTCTCTGCTGCAGGAATAAAGAGTGTCCCACCTGCAGGAAGAAGCTGGTGTCCAAGCGCTCTCTGCGCGCCGACCCTAACTTCGACGCGCTGATCTCTAAGATGTACCCGAGCCGTGACGAGTACGAGGCGCACCAGGACAAGGTTCTGGAGCAGCTGAGTCTCCTGCACAACAAAGAGGCTCTGAGCAGCAGCATCGAGCAGGGGCTGCGCATGCAGGCCAGACACAGGTCACTCCCCCGCCCTCGCTTCTGCTGGTCCTGAAGGGGCGGAGATTTTCACTGCAAACATCATTTTCTTCCTCAGTCTTGTTTTCTAGTATCAATATCTACAAGTTCTTGAATCAGGATGCATTTACTTGGCAAGTAAAATGACTTTTTTGTCTTGTTTTCTGAAAAAACTATCCAATTTTTGTTAGTTTTTGCTTAAAACAAGTAAAAATATCAACCAATGGAGTAAGACAAATTATCTAATTTAGCCTTTGAATCAAGATTATTTTTCTTTCCCCATTGGCTGATATTTTTTACTTAAAGCAAAAACTAACAAAATTTCAGAAAACAAGACAAAATATCTTTAGTCATATTACTTGTCAAGTAAATGCATCCTGGTTCAAGAATTTGTAGATATTTATACTAGAAAACAAGACAAAAATACTGAGGAAGAAAATCATTTTTTTGCAGTGAATTCACTGACTCTAAGATACACTTATATGACGGTCAGGGTTTCTTGGTGACTGTTTTTCCCAGGTTAAAAAAAGTACACTTCTGTAATGTACTTAAAGTGCTCTATTTTTTGCGCACTAATTTTGTATTTAATATACTAAAAATGATTATTAAATACTTCTTCAGATAAACTTAAGATCAGTTAAGTGTACTCAACTGTGAACTAAAATGTGCTTTTAACATACTATCTCTGTATTTAAAAATTTATTTAGTTACCACTTGTAGTACACTTGAGTGCACTAGTGTATGAAATATGGGTTCAAGTGTACATTAAGTAAATTACGGAAGTGTAATTTCTTTTCAACCTGGGTTGACCTTCTTTCTGCACCTTGCTGTACAATAACAGTTGTTTACGATCGCTAGGACACATTCTCAATACTTAGGTCACATCAGTCTCTGTGGGCTAAACTGTGGATCATTTATCATTGCTTTGGCACAAAATGCATTCATTGACAGCATCTGTCAGATTGCATGAATTCTTTTATCACTTCAACACAAACACTGCCAAAACTTTGTGCTATACAAGCCAATTTGCACATGCTTGCATACTGTTTTCAAAACCGTTAGAACCTAGCACGGAACAAAAATGAATGAGACAGAAATGTGCAACACTTCTACAGCGATATCATACAGAAAAATGTTCTGAATGTAAAAAATCAAATACTATCAAAGCAACTGCATGCAGCTGGTCTTTCACTTTCATTACCATCTGTACAAAAAGGGGAAAACCTAGGAATAATTTTGTACTGTAATGTAAATATGGAGCATGTAAGATAAGCCGATAATTATTTGAGGTGTTGATGAAGTGTTTTGAATGTGAAATGAACTGCTGTGCCAAGCTGAAAGATGGTTAGGAGAACTGTGAGAGGAGTTTTGAAGAAGTGGCTTTAGTATTGAGAAATGTGTCCTAGTGACTGTAAAAACAACTGTGAGACCTGTATGTAAGCTCTCTTCTCAGAAGTGAAGTAGGTAAGAGGTGTTTTTCTCTGTGGTGTGTGTCTCAGAGCCCAGCGTGTGCGTAAGCTGCATGCGGAGAGCGAGAACGCCACGCTCAGCGGCGGTGAGGACGAGGTCTCGCAGGACTCCGGCGTTCCGCTCCACACCAGCAGCGCCGCGGAGCCTGGCCCTAGCCGCGCCAGAAGAGCGTCTGACGACTCCGTAGCCGAGGCTCCTGCTCCGCAGCGCTGCGAGATCGAGCTCATATTCTGCCCACACCCCCTGCTGGTCAGCCGCCAACAGTACAGCCAGACACGGTACAGCACAAACCAAGCCCTTAAAGGGGTGCTTGACTGCTTTTTTTCTAGGCTTGGTTGTAGTTGTAGTAGTAGTAGTAGTAGTAACTTTATTTATCCCCTTGGGGAAATTTTGTTTCAGTGTCTTGTTTCAATATGCGGTTCTCACAAACGACAATACAACATAAATTTCACAATAGAAACAATACAATTTAACATCAATTAATCAAGAGTGCTAATTTACTGAATGAGACCTGCTCATTTCATAAAAAAAAAAAAAAAGTGTTTATGGGGTGCAGTCTAACATTTCTTCATGCTTCAACTTATTTTTCATATATCTCTTACCTTTATTCTACGCCGCTGTCTGCATTGTCATTTGAACGGCCGGTTGACTTCCTGTTTCTATGATACCACTTCCTCCTAAATACAGCTCAGATTGGTTCGCTGGCCCAGTGTATTGTGATTCGTTAACTGCGTATTGCACATTGTCTGGAAACGTCATGACTCTAACCATTACGAGCACTGGACTCTTCTCACAAGACTGTGATGCTTAACGGTCATCTGCATCGTAAATCCTAATCCTAATCATAAATGATAAAAAAAAAAATTATGTACATTTATAACACTATTACTTTGTATTATATCACCAAATTACAAAAAATATATACACATCAAATTACAAAAAAAATAAAAAACAGTTAAGGCTAACGCGAGGGTGTTTCTAATGCAGTGTCTATGGGAGCGATGGTAAATGGTTCATCGTTCTCTCTTCTGACTGCCGTTATCAGTCTCTCAGTTTTTTTCCTTTTATTGAAAGTCATGAAAACACTATCGTGGAATTTCTTTTGGTATTTGAGCGAATGGGAATGCAAAAAATATATTTGTTGTACTCTCCCATAGGGGTGTGCGATATTGACAAAAAATTATATCTCGATATTTTATGGGATTTTATCGATAACGATAATTAGACGATATTTTGCAGAGTGTGTTATTGTGCTTGATATCTTAAGGACTGCCGAAGACAGCTGACTCCTAATGTTTTTAATATTCTTCATATTCTGTGTGGTGGTCAGTTCATACTGATAGAAATTAATCTTTTCCAATAAGTTTAAACTGATTTGTGCATTTTATGGGCATTTTTACTTTTATAAAGCCATTTTTTCTAAAAGTGTCCATTATCTTTTGAGTCAAATTCTTACATTTAATAAGGGAATTAGAATAATAAGACATTTGGGCTGTTACCAAGCAAATGAAATCAACACAGAAGCTGCATCTGAAGTGGCATTTAGATGTATTTACACACATGTATTTTGTTTAATGCAAGACATGAATGCATACAATTACGATATTATCGCAGACGATATATATATCGCACACCCCTACTCTCCCATTCACTGCTCTTGAATATAACCCAACTATGACGACTTCTGCTGCTGAGAAACACGCAAATGTGAAAAAGGTCCATAGTTGCATGTGGTCCGGTGGAAAAGAGCCTTGCTCCCTTTGTTGCATGTTCCCGGGGGCAGGGGTTTATGTAAATTTCAGGGTTTGTGATGTCACAAAAGGTGGAGGGTTTCTGAAGCGCACTGCAACTGCTACAGCAAGCACTAGTCATATATTTGAATGTTCAGCAGCAAACTCACTGGCTACCGATACAGGAGAGAACCAATCAGCTGTGCCATGTGATGATGTCATTAGGTCAGATTGAGTTAGACCTATCGGACTGCGCCATCTAGAGTTTCATGCCAGAACTCTTTATTTAAAAAAGTGAAATCACAATCAACCACCCCTTTAAACAGTCTTAAATCAGAGCAGAAAGTCTCAAATATATTGATAGCCAAGGTATTAAATGTTGCATGCACTGCAAAACCTGAATATTTTCCTGAATATTTTTGTTTTCCAATACAAATATCTAAACATCCTTAAATCAAGACACGTTTATTTGAGATGCAAAATGAAGTTTCTGAAACTGAGCAAAATTGAGTTAAAACAAGAACAAATATCTGCCAGTAGGGAATGAAAACTTGTTTTTACCTTTGGATTAAGTTAATATTTTTGTCAGATATGTGTTCTTGTTTTAATCATAAACACTTTGATGAAATTCTTATAAAACAAGACTTCTTATTTGATTTCATTTTGCTTCTCCAGTAAATGTCTTGATTTAAGAATCTTTAGACATTTTCCACTGGAAAACAAGACAAATTACTGAGGTACAGTGAGGTCATTTCCACATTCTGGTGGTTGGAGGCGGAGCTATTCAAGCCTTAAGCTATTTTGTTTTTCTTATTTTATTTTCTTCTTTTGTAAAATGAATCCTGAAGTACTGGCAATCTGTTGGAAGTTGTATTTTTACTTGGAACCTGGGAGTGTTGCTAACACAAGACATTAGAGACCATATTGATGTATTGGTTTCTATTTGATTTATTCCTGATACTTCAGTGCTGTAGGATGATTTTAAAACATGAAGTCTTTACAGGATAAATTGACAGAGCATAGTGATGTTGAAGTACAGAGTTCTGGCATGAAACTCTAGATGGCGCAGTCCAATAGACCTAACTCAGTATGACATAATGACATCATCATCACATGTCACCGCTGATTGGTCCTCTCCTGTATCGGTAGCCAATGAGCTTGCTGCTCAACATTCAAATACTTGGCTAATGCTTGTGGTAGAAGTGTGCAGCACACTCCAGAAACCCTCCACCATCCCCAGCTCCACCTGTATAGATCTGCTACGAGGTGATTCATGCACGCTATATGGGGGTTATTTCATGTATGTTATATGTGCAGCAGCAGTATTTCTTACATGCTCACAGCAGCATGTTGTGGATGTATTGGCAGTAGCAAGTCTCGGTATACTTGCTCTGCCGCAGCAGCAGCAGCGTAGCAGATCTATTCCGCCAAGACCAAATACATTAACATTGTCATGTACATTACCATGCCAATCCCTCCGAGAGTTGTCATTTAGTTTTGGAAACTTTCCAAAAATCCCTGGAATATTCCAAAAAATCCTGGAAAGTTTCCAAAATTTCTGGAATGTTTCCGAAATTTACTGGATTTTTTTCCACCTTTTTGCAACCCTAGTCGCTCCTCAAGCTTTACGGATGGGAATGTCATCGGGTACCTTTCTCCCTTCTGCTCACAGATACGTCAAAACCACAGCCAAAGCCACGGTGGACCACCTGTCGAAGTACCTGGCTCTGCGCGTGGCTCTGGAGGAGGGTTCGAGCGGCACGCCGGAGGGAGCTCTGCGGCACGTCAGCGAGAAGCAGTTCACCATCTACATCAGCACAGCGGCGGGACAGTTCACCGTGAGTCCGAGCGCTGCTGCGGTCAGAGCAATCCCAGGCTGCCTTGCCCTGTCCTCACCCTCTCTGTCTTTCAGACACTGAACGGCTCGCTGACGCTGGAGCTGGTCAACCAGAAGTTCTGGAAGCTCTGCAAGCCTCTGGAGCTCTTCTACGCTCCCACAGACCAGAACCAGACGCCTCAGCTGCGACAGATGGACGACGAAAGCCCAGGACAATCAGCTCTGACCTAAGACTCTTTCCGTCCTGCTCTACTGAGGCCAGCACAGGTTCAGTCAGTCCTCATCACTCACCCTCGTGTCATTCCACACCCGTAAGATCTCCGTTCATCTTCAGAACACAAATTAAGATATTTTTGATGCAATCCGAGAGCTCTCTGACCCTGCATAGACAGCAACGCAACTGAAATGTTCCCAGGTCCAGAAACGTAGCAAGGAGATCGGTAAAATAGTCCATGTGACATCAGGGGCTCAACTTCAGTTTTGCGAAGCTACGAGAATACTTTTTGTGCGACGAAGAAAACAAAAATAATTTATTCAACAATTCTTCTCCCCCGAGTTACTAAGACGGTCTATGCCGCCATTTTGGAGAGTATCACAACGCATACGCACGCTTTTCCCTAAGCGTAAACAGCGCTGATTACGTTCTGGGGTACTCTCCGAAATGGCGGAAGACAGTAACTCTGGGGAGAAGAATTGCTGAATAAATTGTTATTTTTGCTTTGTTTTCAAAATCTAAATGTGTAAATAAATCTGTATGTTGTAAATGTGTCCCGTCAGGTAAGAGAAGTTCTTCATGTAAACAGGGAGGTGGTCTGTAGGGACCGCACCTGTGGGTTTTGGGACAGGCCCTAAATTCTGCAAGTCCTCTGCAGCTGTTATCAAATCTCAAGTTATACTCGTGAGACACCATATGTGTACAGATTTAAAGAGACGAGTCTGTATGGAAACATCTACAGATTCTCAGCAACAATCGTGCTGTTTTCTGTGCTTGTTCGTTTATAATTTATTTCATTTATTCGTTCAGTGATTTATATGCTTGTCTTCACCATCACTTCACTTTTCTCCTGCCTCTTGGGTTGACAGAAGACGAGATGAGCTGCTGACAGCTAACCATGAACTACTGTTTAAATGGAAGTGACTGCAATAATCATGAGACGGATTATTATTTTAATCTATTGACAACCCTAATATTAAGGTCACAACTTCTGTTGTACAGGTTTGTCCAAATACCCCAGGCTACCTCTGGTTAGAAATGACAGAGTAATGGACACCTTCATGAGAATGATTTTTTGTTTTAAGGTGGTCACATTCATGAATCTGAATTGAATGGAAGCTTGTTTCCACCACAAAAGAAAAAAGAAAACAACTTCTTTCCCCTCACAGTTCTGAGAATAAAGTCCCAATTACAATCACAATTAGTTTTGTTTCGGGAACATAAAACAATTGTGAGGGATATGATCCAGAATTCAGGGGGATAACTGTATGTACTGGTTAAAATGGTCATTTTCATTGTTACTTTCCCCAACTAGTTTTTGTACATATTCAGCCGTGCATTGAAAAACTGCCTTATTGCATCTTTTTCATTAATAAAGATGAACACATTTATACTGGACTACAAGACTGTTGAACTGGACGAATCTGGAGTCCTTGGTTAATTTAGACCGAATAAAAATAAATAAATTGGACATTTTAAAAATCGCTACTTCATCAGAATCGTATGAAACGCTGTGAGTTTTATGGCAGTCGCTATGTGACCCCCCACAAAAAAAATGGCAATTGATTAAAAAAAAGCTAAATGTCATAAAAAAGTCACACTTGCATTGTTTGCGTAAAAAAAAACACCATAGGGAATAAATGGGAAATAGGAAAAAAATAAAATATAGATGTTTTTGTGTTTATAATCTACAAATCAGCTACAATGCAGAACAAAAAAAAAATGTGCACAGCAATGAAGGGGTGACTATTTTGCCTGAAACCCCTGCTCAGTAACAGCTCAATACTCAGCACTGAATATATATATGTGTGTGTGTGTGTGTGTGTGTATATATATATATATATACACGAGTGTTTCTGCAACTACGGGCACTTTTAAGTCCCAGCAGTGAAATTTTAGATTTATGTTAACATTTGTCATATGATGCTTTATAAATATATTCAGTGTCATTACACACCTTGACAAAAAAATATAATTAATGATTAATGTGATTTAATATTAAATTATGAAGCATTTATAGGTCCAAACACCATTTGTGTTCATGTCCCACAACTCTGGTCACAATGTTGAGATACGTAAAATAAGCTAATTGAATTACAATTTGACACGATTTCAAATAGAATTGTTATATATACATGTTAATTTATAGCATCTTACATTTTATTGTATTATTTACTGATCATTTTAATGATTTTTTCAACTAAATGTGCGTGTCCCACACTTTTGAGTCCTTACCGCAACAATGAAAAAAGACTTTTATTATGACATTTTATCAAAGACAAACAAGTCTGGTTTCTATGGAAACAGAAATTAGCACATGAGCACATTGCTGACAGATTGGGCCACTGCACTCACAAGATCCCAAAAAATATAAGGTAAATATAATCTTTTCTGTGTCAGTATTTATTGTGTGTCCTTAATATACAGCTTAGTAATTCTGTACTTCGAACTACATTTTAAAAATAAATGTATATTACTGTTTAATTCATGCATATTAAGATGCTAAGAGTCAAAACTAATGTAGTAGACCTTGCTAGCTGCAATATTAGCAAAAATGTCTTTACCGCAGCAAATTTAGGTGTTGCGGTAAAGACCTTGTGTTGCGGTAGAGACAAGTTCAAGGTTTACTGTATATTAAATTATAAATATTCAGTCCATATGTTTTCTGTTTCTGTTACTGTTGTTCTCTACAGTAGCCTGTTTTTGATTTCATGGCACTTTAACATTGTGTCCTTACCGCAGCTCTGCTTTATTTTATTTTCTTTCATATTTTTATTTGCAAATAAAATATATATTTTAACACTTGAGTTGAGATGATGTACACATTGAAATGGCAACATCTGTCATAAAAAGCTAAATATGTTATCTTTAGTGTGTATGGAAACAATTGACGTCTAAGGTTATGGTCTAAATTTTACATGGCATAGAGAAAACCATGAAATCCACTATTTTGTATATTATTTTTTAATATCAGTATTTACAAAACTGCACAAAATTTAATAAAGCTATTGACATATTACATTTTTATAGAAATTAAAAAAGAAAAATGCATGTAATGAATGTTATTGTAACGTTGCGGTAAGAACATTTTGTAAGAAGAGTTGAGAAACATACAAAATAAACATGTTCCAGATTAAAATCTTAATGACTCCATGCAATTTTGTTGACCTTTTTACATGCATTACAGACTCTGATGGTTAAAATCAAAATTCACAGGGGTCGATTTTTTTCAATTTTGGAGTCAAAAGTGCCCCCGTAGTTGCAGAAACACCCATATATATATATATATTTGTGTGTGTGTGTGTTTATATATATATATATATGGCTATACAGGCATCTAATGGCGACACCGTGGGATTACAGATGATTTTTTTCCCACATGAATCTGCCTCAATTCCATGGATTTGAAATATTTTTGCTCCATTTTTAACTTGCATACTGCATTAATTGAAAGAAAATGTAACATTTTTATATTTTTTACATTTAATACAGAACATAATTTATAACATCATTGAAATGAAATGTAGTATATTCATTTCACAAAAACACCATTATGGCCTCCGGTCGGTTTCGACCACAAACACCACAAGTGTGACTCCCAGATGAACCATCCCAGAGGTTTAGGTGCCTTTGGGATTACAGATGATTTTTTTCCCACAAGGTGAAACAAATCTGCCTCAATTCCATGGATTTTAAATATTTTTGCTCCATTTTTAACTTGCATACTGCATTAATTGAAAAATTATGTAACATTTTTATATTTTTTACATTTAATACAGAACATAATTTATAACATCATTGAAATGAAATGTAGTATATTCATTTCACAAAAACACCATTATGGCCTCCGGTCGGTTTCGACCACAAACACCACAAGTGTGACTCCCAGATGAACCATCCCAGAGGTTTAGGTGCCTTCTCAGGGTCTTATAAAGGACCAGCATCCAATCATCTGAGGTTCCTCGTGGTCCCTCGTGGTCTTAATGGAGAATTACCAGATTACAGCTATCCTGATAACCCAGCCTTCATAAACACCCTTTATTGAGTGCTGAGAGGATCAGTAAAGACGGAGCAGGACACAGATTGACTCAACAGTTGTCTTTTATTGAAGGTTTACTTCTTCTTGGACACTCCCACAGTTCGGCCGCGGCGACCGGTGGTCTTGGTGTGCTGACCGCGCACACGCAGCCTGGAGAGAAGAGACGAGACGAGTGAATCAAACACGCCATCACTTCAGAAACCATCTCCCGTGTGGAGCTGATCGAGCCCGTCCTAACAGGTCATTAGTGTGCGGCGGGAAACTCACCCCCAGAAGTGCCGCAGGCCGCGGTGAGCTCTGATCTTCTTCAGACGCTCCAGATCTTCTCTCAGTTTGTTGTCCAGACCGTTAGCGAGGACCTGCGGGAAACCACATCAACACTCATCTCTCCTGCACACAGAAGGGTCTTCAAAACCAGCCCAGGACACTGCACTCCAACACCAAAGCTTCTAGGGTCTCACTTAGCAACGCTGCGTACGCACACAATGGGCATAAAACATGCGTACGCAATTTTCCACGCACACAAACTTGGCATAAATATGTACGGTGCGCGTACAGACATGAACACAAACTCTTGTTCCTGGAGTGAGAAAAGTAATGAAGTAAACGACGGTTTTAAACTCGGTTTGCATATCGATGTACACATTTACATTAAATATTCCACTCATTAATGGAGATAAGCACTGAAATTACATAAAGTCATTACGCAGAAGTTAAACAAAATTATATGAATTTAGACATAGCCTATTTGTAGAGGATGCTCTTGATCACTTTTCCTGTAGCGAGGAGTACTATATAGGTGCACAATAATTCATCTTTAAACTAAACTGCAGCTCTCATGAGAAAATATTTCAGCAATGTTAAATGATGCACACTAGGGCTGTCAAAATGACCGAAAAACTATATTCGAATTTTCTACTTAAATATGATCAAAATTCTAATTATATTCGAATTGAAAAGGCATAATTTCAGTTAGGGGGGAAAAAAAGCTTTTGACTTCTCTCCCGAGGCCACAAGAGGGCGCATCGAGCAAAATATTACTAATGCACGCTTCTTCAAAGCGTAATAAAATAACACGACTATCTTTGAAAAAAG